TTTTTTTCCTCTTCTTTCTTCTTCTAGTTGAGCTCTGATCATCCAGTCATTGAAGCCAGGTCAAGTGGGTATTATCTGCAAGTGTGTGTGTTCTTGTGCATATACCCTCTCTTCTTATCAGCTGGACACTTCACTCTCCACTCTAGTCCTCTGTGGCTATGTCTCTGACTCTGGGCCATTATTGTTCAGTTTTAAGATGACTTCAGGGAATATTTTTGGTTTAAGGTTTAAAGAGTATCTCGGGGCAGTTGTTTTGAGAGTTCATTTGACCTCAGTCTGTAGGGTTTTCATTGGCTGATTTCCAGTGGTAGATTGCTAGGCCTCTTCCTGGCCCTAATCCAATCCCAGAGACACAGACAGAACTGACTGTTCCATTTCTCACATTTAGGGACTATGTCGGTGGCGGGGTCTGTCCCAGCAAAGCCACCATACCTGGGAAAACCGTCATTGTGACAGGTGCCAACACTGGTATCGGGAAACACACCGCCTTGGAACTGGCTAAAAGAGGTAAAGTCCCCACTGGCCGCCTGCTTTTGCTGCCCAGAACTTTAGTGTGAGGTCATGAGTGGGCAGGGGGAGTTTGCTTTCCTGGGAAATGTTGTAGTCATTGGTGCTTTGGGGTGCAAGCGTTAGAAACCAAACTAATGCTACCTTAAGCCAAAAAAGCTTGTGTGCTTGGAATGGATAGGGAGGGTTCAGGGCCTCAGAGGAAACTGAGGAAGCTTTAAATTTTTTTTCCCCTCCTGTGGTATTGACCTCAGTCTTTCCTACCTCCATTGGACCTAGTTCAAGTTGGGGGCCTTGTTAGTGTCAGAGGTCAGAGGTTAGGACCTGACTTCAGGTTCGTCTAGATTTAGGTTGTCCCAGTTTAATAATTCCAGTGGAAAGAGAGAACCTCCCCTCTGCCTCCTGATGCCTTTGTATAGAAGATTCCAGGGAAGGACTCTGATTGGCTCTTTCTGGGTCATGAGCACACAGCCTGGACCAGTCACTGGGGCCATTCACTTATTAATTCATCCAAGAAGTATTTATTGAGCCCTGTCTACTGTTCAAGCCCTGCTTCCTATTCTGTCTTCAGATTTGTTTTTCAACAGCTTTTGTTTAAAAAATGTAATTCACACAGCGCACAGTTTGCTCTGTGCATGCCCATGGCTTTTAGCATGTTCACAGAGAGATACAACCACCAACACATTTCAGAATATTTTCATCACCCTGGAAGAAAGCTACAGCACACCACTCTTGCTGCTGGGCCCTCGGTAACCATTCATCCACTTCCTGTTTCTGTAGAGTTCCTTATTGATATTTCATTGGAGCGGAATCATGTTGAGCATGATCTTTCGGGTCTGGCTTCTTTTATTCGGTGTAACTTTAGAGACTCATCCGCTTGGTAGCATGTATAAACACCACCTTCCTTTCTCTGGATGAGTGATCTCCACTTGGAGGCCTAGTGTCACAGCATGTTAAGCACTGGATTGCTAACCACAAGGTCAGTAGTTCAAACCCACCAGATGCTCCTCTGGAGAAAGCTGAGGCTATCTGTACCCGTAAAGATTTGCAGCCTCGGAGGCCCCATGGAGCAGTTTTGCTCTGCTCTCATAGGCTCGCTGTGGGTCAGAATTGAGTCTTGAAGACAGTGCTTCAACCCTTGGTTCACAGGGCCCTGGTTGTGCACTGGTTAAAGTGCTCCTACCTACTCCAAAAGGTCGGTGTTTTGAACCTACCAGCAACTCCGTGAGAGAAAGTTGAGGGAGTACACAGTTTCAGTGAAGACACGCAACCTTGGAAACTAATCAACGGTTCTCTGTAGTTTGGTTTGGGAACTGCTAGGTAAGACCCCTGGTGATGCAGTGCTTAAGTGCTCAGCTGAGAACAGAAAGACTGGTAGTTCATACTCACCAGCCTCTCTGGGAGAAAGATGAGGCAGTTTGCTCCCATAAAGATTTACAGCATCAGAAACCCTACAGGTTCTGAGTTATGAGTCTTGAAGGCAGTGTTTTACCCCTTGTTCAATGAGCCCTGGTGACTCAATGGCTAAAGCTCCCACTGAGTTCAAAAGATTGGTGGTTTGAGACCACCAGCCGCTTCACTGGACAGAGTGGAACTGCTCCGTAGGGTTTCCAAGGCTGTAAATCTTTATGGGAGCAGACAGCTTCGTCTTTCTCCAGTGGAGCGACTGGTGGGTTTGAACTGCTGACCTTGTGGTTAACAGCCCAAGACGAGGCAGTCTGCTGTTGTAAAGATCTACAGCTTCAGAAATTTGTGGAGTAGTTCGGTATTGCCTTGCCGGGTCTGGATTGACTTGCTGGCAGTGGGTTTGGTGTGGTTTGCACTTGGAAGGACCCCTGGTGGCACAGTGGTTAAGTGCTCGGCTGCTGACGGGAAGGCCGCTGGTTCATACCCACCCGGGGAAGGATGTGACAGTCTGTTCCGGTACAGATTACATCTCAGAAACCCCATGGGGCAGTTCCGCTCAGTCCTACAGAGTTATTACGCGTGGGAACAGACCCGAAGGCAGGGGGAAGGCTTGGTTTGGATTACCCATTGCATGCTGGTCCATTCATCTGTCAGTGAACATCTGGGTGGTCTTCATCTTGGGATTATAGTGCTGCTATGAACACTGGTGGGCCAGCTTTCGTGCGGAAATAGGTTTTCATTTCTCTCGAGTAGATATTTAGGAGTGAATTTTGTGGGTTTTTTTTTCGCCTTTTAATGTTCCGTGTCCTGGGCTTCCAGGAGGCAACATCATTCTGGCCTGTCGAGACATGGAGAAGTGTGAAGCAGCAGCAAAGGACATTCGTGGGGAGACCCTCAATCATCGCGTCAGTGCCCGGCACCTGGACTTGTCTTCCCTCAAGTCCATCCGAGAGTTCGCAAAGAAGATCATCGCAGGTGGGAAGGGGAGCACTGGGAATGTAGGATCGGGGGCTTGGGCACCTGGCGATCACTGAATGGCTTCAGACAAGCTCTCTTAGTCTCGTTAGGGGGTCCTCAAAGAAAAGTCCCATCAAAAGTGCCTTCTGAGGGAATCTGCTGGAGGAGTTACATTCAAGGCAGACAAGTCAGCTCAGAATGTTAGGGAGACTGTGCATTTTGGGATAGCAAATGGGTTATTTTGATAGATTTTTTCTTGAAGTACCAGGACAGCCTTGGGGGGCTTATGAAGTATTTCTTTGGCTCGTTGTAGGCGTCTCCAAGTGGAAGGGCCCAACCTGGAGTCCAGGGAACTCCTATTCTCTTTACTGGGCTGTTTCTTTCAGCCAGTCCCAGGATTATGCTGGTATTCTCAGCACTTCTACCACATCAGTGACTCACCTGTTCTCTCAATGACTCATTCCTTCTCAGGTAGGAATCTGGTGATGTGACCTGAAAGTATGAAAGGGTACGCAGCAAATAGTCATCCTGCTACACCCAGCTGCTTCAGAGGTATTCAGGGTTCCAGCGTCTCCTAGAACGTCTTTGGAGATGTTTTAAATAAAAACAATGTAAACTATGTGCATTCCTCTAGCCCACCACTCTTCACGCTTTTCTACAAATGGTAGCCTGCTGTCCGCATGGGGCTAGCCTGCACCTCACTTTTCTACAGGTATTTCGAGAGGTTGCGCTGGCTCCACAGAATGAGCACTGGACTGCAAATCACAAGGTCAGCGGTTCAAGTCCACCAGCCACTATGTGTCAGAACGATGAGGCTTTCTGTTCCCGTAAAAGTTTACTTTATGGGAACAGAAAGTTCCTTCTCGAGGGGTGGGGGGTGGGGTTCATTCCAGACCCCCTGCTAATACCATCCTTGACCTTGGTGACCTTGGACAGACGTCCCTTAGAGATACTGTGTACTTAGTCTCAGGTCACCACAATGAAGGGAGCATCATAGTAAGGTCAGGTTTCCCGGTGCATATAAGAGTTGCTCGCCCATAGTCTCATAAAGCCATTCCAGAAAAACAAACAAAACTTTGGGGGATAAAATATGACTTAAACATAGAATGTTGTTGTTAGATGCCATTGAGTCGGTACCCTACGCACAACAGAACAAAACATAGAATGGGATCTGTTTAAATATGGAATGAAGACTAACACGAGGAGAATTATGGTTCAAAACAGAGTATGTGCTGGTCATCTTAATGAAGTAAGAATACGAACTGAGGGAGGGTGGTCACCCCCTTTCATCCCAAGAAATGATTGATTCTGCTGAAAGTAAGCCATAGTCTCCCCCACTGAATATTCCAGTCCCTTAATACACCTCACCATTGTTTTTGGGGACCACAGAGAAGTCTGTCACCAGCCAGTAGCTCTTTAAGAAAGGAAAGATTGATCTACGAGCCAACATTTTTTTTTTCCTGTTTCCTGTTGCTTCTCTCCTGTCCAACTCAAGTAAAATTAAATACTTTTAAGACATAGGAAAAAAGTTATGTTTACACTATACTGTAGTGTGTTAAGTGTACAACAAACAGCATCATGGGAAAGTGTGAAATCTGTGGGAGTGATTAAAATGTGACACAGTCACGTGAAGTGAGGACACACTTGGTAAAATGGTGCCGACAGACTTGCTCAGCACAGGTTTGCACAGACTTTCAATTTGTAAAAAACAAAACAGCAGTATCTCTTCTTGGTGTTAAGCCATGGTTTTGGTTCTGATTTGTAGTGGTGACTATGTGCCGTGGAGTTTGTTTTGACACGTAACAACCCCGTATAATGTTTCTGAGGCTATAAATCTTTACGGGAACAGAAAGCCTCATCGTTCTCCCACATAGTGGCTGGTGGACTTGAACCACCGACCTTGTGGTTCACAGTCCATTGCTCATTCTGTGGAGCCACCGTGATCTCTCGAAATGTCTGCAGAGCCCAATCAAGTGAAGTGAAATAAAATAGAGTATGCTTTACGAGGGAACTTCATTAAGAGCGTGGAGAGTGGAATTAGAAGGTAGAGGACTTTTTTCCAGGAACGTCAGGGTGTGGATATGGCGGATTGACTTCATGGGTTTGCTATTAACAGGCAATGGGCTTGCTTCCAGGGTTTTGCTGCTACAAACAGTGCTATTGCGAATATCCTTTTATAGTTCTGTTTTCTCACATCCACGAGGCTCTCTGTCAATCTTTGAGACAGTCTGTCTTCCTTTTCTCTTCCTAACACGACATCTTTGTCATCAAAGTGACATCTTTTGCTTTTTGAAAACCGTACAGAAGTCTTTTGCAGAGGATTTGCCCAGTGCGGTGCTGTTGAGTCGATTCTGAATCATGGTGAGTCCATGTGTCAGAGCAGAAACGTGCTTCGGAGGGGTTTCAAGGTGTCTAGGTTCTCTAGTCCTGCCACACAGAAATACCAAACAGAAACATATGCTCTCAGCGTTTAGGAGGTGAGAGGTCCGAGGTCGGAGCGCCGCTGGCTTTGGAGAAAGGTCCCTGTCTCCTTTCAGCATCTGTAGGCCCAGCATGCCTTGGAGATGCCCTTGTGTCTCGGCATCAGTCTTCCCCCGGATCCTTGTGTCTCGGCATCAGTCTTCCCCCGGATCCTTGTGTCTCGGCATCAGTCTTCCCCCGGA